ACCCCTTCCCGCGTTCTGCATTGCCAGTCTATGCTACCTCTGTCCTTATCTAGTGGTGAGATATGCTTTACGCTTACTTGGAGAGTCATCATAGAATGATGTTTTTGTAGTTGTGCTACTAGTGGTGACTATGCACTCATGCATTCATTCATCATAGAATGATGTTTTTGTAGTTGTGCTACTAGTGGTGACTGCAGCTACCATAGATTCATTGCAGAATGATGTTTTGTAGTTGTGCTACTAGTGGTGACTATGCACTCATGCATTCATTCATCATAGAATGATGTTTTGTAGTTGTCCTAAGGTGCTGACTATGCACTCATGCATTCATTCATCATAGAATGATGTTTTTGTAGTTGTGCTACTGTGCTGACTATGCACTCATGCATTCATTCATCATAGAATGATGTTTTGTAGTTGTGCTACTAGTGCTGACTGCACTCATGCATTAATTCATCATAGAATGATGTTTTTGTAGTTGTGCTACTAGTGGTGACTTTGCACTCATGCATTCATTCATCATAGAATGATGTTTTTGTAGTTGTGCTACTAGTGCCTGGACTATGCATCTGCATTCATTCATCATAGAATGATGTTTTTGTAGTTGTGCTACTAGTGGTGACTTTGCACTCATGCATTCATTCATCATAGAATGATGTTTTTGTAGTTGCTACTAGTGGTGACTATGCACTCATGCATTCATTCATCATAGAATGATGTTTTTGTAGTTGTGCTACTAGTGGTGACTGCACTCATGCATTCATTCATCATAGAATGATGTTTTGTAGTTCTGCTACTAGTGGTGACTGCACTCATGCATTCATTCATCATAGAATGATGTTTGTAGTTGTGCTACTAGGCTCGACTATGCACTCATGCATTGATTTATCATAGAATGATGTTTTTGTAGTTGTGTACTAGTGGTGACTATGCACTCATGCCATTGATTTTATCATAGAATGATGTTTTGTTAGTTGTGCTTACTAGTGCTGACTATGCACTCATGCATTCATTCATCATAGAATGATGTTTTTTTAATGGTGTGCTACTAGTGCTGACTATGCACTCATCGCATTCATTCATCATAGAATGATGTTTTGTAGTTGTGTACTAGTGCTGACTATGCACTCATGCATTCATTCATCATAGAATGATGTTTTGTAGTTCTGCTACTAGTGGTGACTTTGCACTCACGCATAGATTCATCGCAGAATGATGTTTTGTAGGGTGTGCTGGGTCTCTACAGAGTCTATTACCACAGCTGGTCGGCGTAGCCCACCTGAGAAGGGCATCAAGACTGACAGTAAGTGACACACTCGTTAGTCAAGGTGGACTCGGATGACACTGCCGCTAGCTGTCAAGTAGGCGTAGAGTGCTCGTTTAGTCGAATATTATATGTTAATTGTTAATGATTGTAATCCTTTAATGGTTAATGTTGCCGCTTACGTGTAATTTCGTATCGACAATTGGTCTTGTTTACTGATGATATTGCAAGTTTCTGTTTTAAAATTAAATAATTTTGTCTTTAATATACTAAATGAAATATGAATATAAATACTATTAGTTAGCTGGCGTGCATTTAGACAGGTCTAATAGTATGTGTTCACTTGTGTTGTAGGTGATTAAAACCTTGAACACTAAGCTAATAAAGCGACTATTAAGCACACTACTGCTGTCTGCAGAATCGATGATATGATGTGGACATTCTACAGGTCATGATATTGAGTGAGATAAATTCAGGCGGACCGTCCGGAGAAATCGCACCATGGGCGGAAATCATAGCGGCGAGGTTGTGTAAGTGTTCGGATTTTTTACGCTCTTACTCGGTTCCTCTCTCTTTCCTTCCCTGCCTCCGATCCCTGTCCATATCTTCCATGTCCCCCTCTTCCTTTCGCTCCCTTACTAGGCTGAACGAAAAAGTTGCGATTACAATCACATCAGGGGCCGGTTTCACGAAGCGTAATTAAGTCCTTAATCATGATTAAATCACTAATCATGATTAACTTCCCATACTTAAATTGACTGTTTCACGAAGCGTAATTAACTTTAATCATGATTAAGTTAATCACAATATTAAATTCTACTCAGGAGCATGATTAAATCAACTAATCATAATTAGTTGCCAGTTCTAGTAGTAGTATGTAGGTAGTACTAGTATATTAAGTACGCTGTAGATTTTACAATTGAAAATTTTACTTCAATTTTTTCCCAAGGAAATTTAAATTATCTAAGATTAGCTGTACTAATTTAGTCATTATAATTGCAAATTAATTCCTTTTCATGTACCGAATTTGCAGATACTTTTGGCGTTGTCCGCCATTTTGAATACAGTGTAATTCATGTTTAAGTCGGTTAATTATGTGATAAGTTAAATATGTACTTAAATCGCTTCGTGAAACAGATTTTTAAGTATGATTAACTAATCATAATTACAGGAGGTTAAGTATGATTAGTGACTTTATCATCATTAAAGTTAATCACGCTTCGTGAAACCGGCCCCAGGTGATTGCCAGCACCACCTAATCCTAACTAATGACTTTAAAGGAGAGGTACGCTGGACCATCATAGCATGAAGCAGGCAGCAGTAGACTTTTTGGGATAGGCAGGGCCCACTATAATCCGAGGTGGGTAGGAATGCAGTAAGAAGGAAGAGGGGCTACACCATCGTACCACGGTACACGACAAGAAGCGAGCGTCGCCACGGTAACAGGAGCTGCACGCGCCAAGGAGCCGTTAGGCAGTAGGGGGCGCTGACGTTAGATGGTAAGGGGGCGCCGCTACTAGATGGTAGGGGGCGCCGGCATCGTACCTTCATGGCGCAGCACCTTGCGGAAGCAGTCGAACGAGTTCTTGTAGAGGACCTCACCGACGAACGCCGACCGCTGGTTCTGCAGTCGCGTCTTTACGAGGTCGATCGGGTACACCGCCGACGCTCCCATCGCTGACAAAACACAAGAACGCCGCTGAGCCGTCTCCACGCCCACACACGCCCGCGTGGCGGCACGCCCGCGTGGCGGCGCGCACGCGAATAACAAGAGAACGACTGTTAATCGTTTCCGTTCATAGATATCGGAAGCTCGGTTTCTCAGTTGAAGAGTTACGAAAAAACACAGGGAACCGATCGCATTCTTCGGCGAAGGTCATTAAAGGTCGTTAAACAATGTGAAAGGACGTTAAAGGTCGTTAAACGACATTAAATGTCGTTAAAGATTGTTAAATGTCGTTAAAGGTCCTTAAAGGTTGTTAAAGGTCATGGGCGGCGAGGGGGCCCTCGAGGGGTACGTACCACCGGCAATGGCGCCGAGCGTGAACCTGTATGCGTTCTCGAGGACCTGGATGAGGAAGCTCCTCTCGGATGGATCCTGAAATACGGACTGAGAGATGAACCGCGGGAAGCGATGAACATAAGATGAACAACGTCAACAACGCGCGTTGTTCCGACGATGTGCCTTCTTGAACAATGCAGAATTCTTGAAAACAGAACAATTCTAGAATGCAAAATGCAACTACTGTCGTGAGATTTGTTGCTGTGATATCAAACTCGCTGTCGCGTATCCGGATGAATATAATAAACTCTCATAATAATAATATAATAACACTAAATTTCCCCTTACCTGTCCGAAGAAAGCTACTTTACACGTAAGGAACATCATGAAAATTGCGCGAAACTAAATGAAAAATCTGCTAATCGAGTTTAGCTCCCGGCATGTTACATTTGGTTTGAAAAGTGCTTCGAGTTTACGTATTTTAGTTAACGGCTAAGATTTCATTTCGAGATAAAAACTTGAGAAAAATAGAGAGGATTATGCTAAAAACATTAATCCGATTGATAATTTTTAAAAATTTAATAAATTTAACAGATATCCGGAACTTATTTAATATGCTAAAAACAGTTTAATCGACTAACATCTACTTGTGGCAAATGTATTAGATACTGTGCGGATGTTTTACGGTGATATTATACATAGCTCTCATGGCCCATCGTATTCATTCTTACATTTGTAAAGTATATACCGTAACACCATGAGCCTATGTATACTCAATATGATAGATAACACACACAACAACTGCCAAAGCCCAAGCCAGTCAGCAACAGCTAGATGATGCTCTTCTGTTTTCACGGGAAGAATATATCAAAATCCGCACAGAGGCGAGATCCCTCACAGCCAATCAGCACTGTCTTTAATTAGTTCCATAAAATTACTCTTTTGCTTTTTTCGACAAACTAAAAGTTTTAGGTAACAATGAAGGATCTCTGCTCTGAACATAACTTCACAAAAGACAGTCAAAAGCGGCAAAAATCATCATCATATATAATCAAAATCAAAATCATCATATTAGGCAATATGGTATTATGCATAGTAATATTAGGCAATAGGTAATATGGCTATGAGATAAAAGCACACATGCTGCACGTAAATGTAACAAAGGCTCCAGTGGTACTATTTTACCATAATAGGAAGAACGTTCACAGCACATCTGGTCTGTGCCAGCACTATTTCCTAATAAGTTTTTTTAACGATATAATATTTGTCGGAAAAGATACGGACGTCTGACCCGATATGCGGCCTCTTTTCAATATTACAGAATGGAAGCAAAACATTGTGGTAGAGTGGAGCAAGGATCCCTTCATACATCCATTCGCGTAACACCTAAATCTGTTTACTGATTTAACTGTTTGCTACTGGTAACTAGTATTTGCCTTTGAGCATTTGAGCATTTGGCCATTGAGAATTTGCCTCGACTAGTATTAAATTTTGTATTTTGAGAATAACTCCATTGTGTATTGACCATCTGGAAGCACTATTAACATGGGAACAAACCGAGGTAACTTCAGGGTCGAATTTGTTCACGGACAAGACACGTGAAGGTCAAATCAATATCCCTTGCTGCGGAACAAAGCCGGTTAGTGGCGGCAAACGCAATAGCGTAGAGCAAAGCCGAGTTAAGCTAGGATGAACTACTATGATGTTTTTAGCACCTGCTGTGCACGTACAAGCAAAGCTCAAAGCAAAACTGCAACCACGCTACGTTACCCTACCGATGCTGACTCTTGTAGCAGCTGGAGGCATTGAACAGAGAGAAGGTACTGATAAGACTCCACGCACAACTACGAAAGATCGACTAGTACTCTCCCCTTCCCTCCCCTTCCCCTAGTTCTGCATGCTTCAGTAACATCCTCTCTCTGTCGCCCTACTACCAACCTTACCAGGTTAGTGATACTTGCCATCTACGGATTTATACAAGCACTATTTTCAATCTCTACAAACGCTATAGTAGTAAACAAACGTTATAACGCTATAGTAGTAAAATGCTGTATCTCTTACTCTTTTAAGTAATGATTATATGTGGCAGCAACTGGCACAATATTGATCTTGAGCAAACACAGTGCGCTAGTAATTTTATTAGTCGATCTATACTGACCCAAGTTGTATACATACATTTCCTTGGCACACTGCAATGTCTAGAGCACGTTGATAAACTACATTCTTATACACGCAGTCATGTATATGCTAGCTACAATTATTAGTGTAAGTAGTCTAGAGTGTGGAATAAAAGCCGAACTGATCAGCAACTGCCAAAAAAACGTTAAGATACGCATGCCTATGCTCCAGGACTCATCGTGAATCTAACGAGCTAATATTCTACATGAAGCCTATTTTTCACTACACTCTAAGCAGACATTAGCATCTTGTTCACAGATACATGTGGTACATAAATCTTTTTTTTTCTCTCTCTCTCTCCTTCTGGCTGTGTCTCTGTTTCTATCTCTCTTTCTCTTTCTCTCTCACTCTATCTCGCTCTCTGTTCCTCTCCACCTTACTCTCGCTCACTCACTTTGTCTCTCTCTCTCTCACTTTCTCTCTTGCTCTCTCTCTCTCTCTCTCACTTTCTCTCTTGCTCTCTCTCTCTCTCTCTCTCTCTCTCTCTCTCTCTCTCTCTCTCTCTCTCTCTTCTTCTCTCTCTCTCGCTCTCTTCATCTCTGCCTCTTTCACTACCTGCCTCCCACTAGTGATACTTACCGATACAGCTTGCACCTGTATAAGACTGTAGGGCATCTTCTCTACAACTAGTGGAGCAATCTTCATGATGTCCTGGTACGTCAGCCGCCTACGCACGAGGGACAGATTAATATCTCACCGACAAAATCGCTTCTCATCGTCAATCTTTCATGATTATTAAAACCGTTATTTGGGATTAAAAGTTTGCATATTCGATTTGCATGATGTCCTGGTATGTCAGTCGCCTACGCACAAGAGACGAAACAATCTCTTGCTGACAAATCCCTTCTCATCATCTTTACTTGGGTTACCTAGTTACCCTGCTGTCGACACTTGCCACTTGTTAAGTTAGCACTTTTAATCAAGAACTGTTTTTTTATTATTGCACCGACGGTGGGGTCAGTAACCCCAATTTCATCTAAATCATGAAGTCAAGAAGTCCTGAACACGGTGTACTCGACCCCCCTCCCCCCGCGACTTAGGAAGAGAGACCCGTTGCAATACCCTCATTCTACTAACATGACGATCCTTCTCTAGACCGTTGCTGCTTGCTTGCGTCACCTACCGCTGTGGGATGCGTCCCCCTCTCTCTCTCCACTCTCTCTCTCGCTCTCTCTTCTCTCCTCTCTCTCTCCTTCTCTCTCGCTCTCTCTCTCTCTCTCTCTCTCTCCTTCTCTCACTCTCATTCTCTCTCTCTCTCTCTTCTCTCTCTCCTCTCCTCCCTCCTCCCCCCCCCCTTGCTACTACCACCGACCGTTACTTTGCTCGTGTCACCTACCCGTGGGATCTCCTGCTGTGCGAGACTGGAAGAGTATGGCGATCTTGAGTGCGTCACCTGGTGAACATCCTGAGCATGATGCAGGAACTCGTCTGCAAAACAAACGAGACCGATCGCATTGCGACGTGTGTACCTACCATGATCTCTACTACTACTAACTGAACAATATAATAATAATAAATATACATAATAATATTGATTATTATATTACTATCCGTCTATATCAATAAATAACTAGAGCATCGGAGGACGGGCAGACTCCGCTAGAGCAGTCCAATTCTCTGACTTGTAAATTTTTTTATTAATAATTTAATTAATTAATAATTAATCTGGATCTGGATCACAAAACATCCAAATTGTAACCAATTCTGTAAGTTACCACCATTTTCTGTACATACCTGAAAATTGTTAGGACAATCCGTCCATAACCTTTTCAGTTAGGCTATACACAAACAAGACCAATGCGCACAAACCACAAACCAACAAACACAGTGACGGTGAAAACATACCTCTCGCAACCCCTTGGCGGAGGTAAAAATAATAATATTATTCTATTATAGCCGCTACTGACAGCGCTTAGCTATCCACGCGTCAGTAAGAAAGTGGCGCGACGCGCCCACTGCCTGGCCATCTGCCACCGATCATAAAAGCTGATATCTGCCAGGAAGTGTGTGGCCCACAACATTCAATTGGATACACGACGAATGCAGTCGTAGTCGTCTCCCTCCCCCTCTTTCTTCTTCTCTCCTCTCTTCCTTCCTTCTCTCCCTCTTCTCCTTCTCTCCTCTCACCTTTACGTATCTCGGGCGGCAGGTTCCTGCTCGCCGGCGTGTAGAGCCATCCCCCTCTCCCCGCTCCCCTCTCTCTCCCCTCCTCCTCTCTTCTCTCTCTCCCTTCTCTCCCCCCCGCCCTCCTTCTCCCTCTCCCTCGCCCTCTTTCTCCCCCTCTCTCCCCTCCCCTCTCTTG